TTTATCACTCAGGACCCACTTCATTTGCTGAAAATCCCTCCCCTAATTTCACAAGCAGGATATCTTCCTAGTGTTTAAGGCACTTTCACTGTAGTTATTTGTGTTCCATGCCAACTGAAAACAGCCAGGAACATGGCTGTACAAGAAAATAATAAAAGGTTAGGTTTATTCAACTTGCTGCAGCAAAGGAAGGAACCAGAGGACACGTGAGTCTCCTCAAAACAGGGGTGTTATGGAAGGGTCCTCGAGGGGTGTGGGGCTGTAGTTGGCCGTAGATGGTCTTGGCAAGGATGGGTCAGAATTTGTAATCGGGAGAGCCACTGGAGGGGTCAGTGGTTTTGTCTTGGAGCACGTACTCTGCATGAGCTGAGTCACGTGTGTTGCACGGCATGGTTTAGTCCTGTTTTTCTGTTTGGGTGTCATGGTCAGGCCCACTTTGCTAGCTGTGGTTTCTTTCCTTCTCAGTACCCCCAGCCACCCTCCAGCATAGCTAACACCCCGTTCCTGGCAGGGGGGTGGGACCACTCTGATTGGTTAGATCAGGTCCCTCAACCTCAGTGGTGTTGACAGTTTGGGCCAGATAATTCCTTGGAGGGAAGGGAGAGTGGGGAGCTGTCCTGTGCACTGTAGGATGTTTAGCAGCATCCCTGGCCTCCACCCACTAGGTGCCAGCAGCATTCCACCCAGTCATGATAATCAGTAATGTCTCCAGACCTTACCAAGTGTCCCATGGGTTAGACCAACCAGAACCCATTCCCCTCACCCTGAGCCTGTGCCAGCGGTACTGCTTCCCAGTCACTTGTTTTTAAGTCACCTGTGCCAGGAGGACCGTCCCGGGGTTAGACGCCATAATCAGAGTCTTGAGGCCTTCACAGTGTCGGCACCTGGACTGAAAGGCATGACGTGAGGGTGAAAATAAACACGTCTGCCAGGCAGCAATGGCAAGTGCCCCAGCTGGTCACTGTGATCCGTGTTGCCCCAGGATGCTATCACTCTTTAAGACAGGGGTTCTCAACTTTAGCTGCACATTAGAATCATCCAGGAAGCTTTGAAATAACCTGATGCCTCAGTCCCATCCCAGAAATTCCAATGTAATCGGTCTGGGGTGTGGCTTGGGCATAGGTAGTTTTAAAGGGTCCCCAGACACTTTTTCTTTTTTTCTTTTTTTTTTTTTTTGGCTGCGTTGGGTCTTAGTTGCAGCACTCAGGATCTTCATTGCGGCATGTGAGATCTTTCACTGAGGCGCGCGGGCTTCTCTAGTTGTGGTGCACGGACTCCAGAGCATGCAGGCTTGCTAGTTGAGGCGCATGGGCTCTCTAGTTGAGGCGCGCGGGCTTAGTTGCCCCGCGGCATGTGGGATCTTAGTTCCCTGACCAGGCATTGAACCTTCTTCCCCTGCATTAGAAGGCGGATTCTTTACTACCAGGGAAGTCCCTCCCCAGACACTTTTAAAAGCCGAAGTCGAGCATCACTGCTTAGAGAAGAAATAAGAAATAGAGACACATATACAGCATTCCAGTTTGGGGGGGACAGGGGTCTGAGTCCAGTGTCCCTAAGATTGGAGACCAAGAGAATCACCCCACCACCACTTTGCTTTGGAAGCCTCAGAGACTGTCTGCAGGAAACATGAGAGAGGCAGCTCTGCGCCATGAGGGGCTGGGGGGACTCAGGCATGACCCTGAAGGCTTGGGACCGGAGGGGCTGTGACTTATCAGTGGGAACACAGATTATGATGAGGAATGGGCTGGGTGGCTTCCCACACGCAGGCAGTTTCCTATCATGACCTTGACGGGAGTTACCTGGGTGTTTGTTTATGTCAGTTTGTTAAGCTGTACATTTATGTTTTGAATACCTTTCTATATATGTTTGTTATATTTCATCCCCAAAAATGTCTGAAAGCAAGCTGTTGCCTAGTTTGAAAGCTGTCTTTGTCCGGATCACTTTCTTAAATTGAAATGGAAATGCATTTAGTGTTGGGCTTGATCAGTGATCCCCGAAACTGGACCAGGGCCTTGCCAACTGTGCAAAACACCTGGGAATTGTTGAAAGCCCAGATTCCCAGACCCCAGCCTCCCAAAGACACCACATCCTGACACCATCACCTTGAAGGATAGGATTTCAACATGTGAATAGGAGGGGAGGGGGGCAACATTCAGGCCATTGCAGGGGTCGAGCATTCCTTTTGATCCCATGGTGCAAAGACGGGCATGGATGTCCATTTCAGTCTTGTTTCTAATGTAGACAAATTGGAATCACCTCAGGTGTCCATTAATAATGGTTAAATAAATGCTCAAATTCAGTGGTTTGCCGTATGCAATCAATACAAGGAATAAGATGGGGAGATACCTGCATTATATTGGGAGGGAACAAACAAGTACAAAGTAATATGTAAAGGGCCTCAGTAACTTACGGGAAATGCTTGGGTGAAGTGGATGTTGGAATTCAGAACCTTTCACATTTAAGGAACATTATGCATGACTTTCTGTTCGTGTGATGGCAGATTAGATAACTGAGACTCACGCTGGCAGTGAGGACAATGATGAACGAAATATTTGAAACATCTGCGTGAAGACACGGGCAAGCCCAGCATGGTGATCAGGTAACAGAAAGGACAGAGAGAGGCCCAGGAAGATGAGCCCAGGGTCGGGAGCCACTTTTTCCCCCGAGTGCATTCGCAGGTCCAGAGGAGGAAGTTGAGAGGCCAGCCAGTTCCGAGACACATGTATAGGATTCCTTGTGAGTCCTGCCAGGTCAGCAGCGGTTGCCATGGTGTTAGTTACCCTCCTTCCCTGTTTCACACCCATCCCTCAAACTTGTTCCTGGAATCACATTCCTAAGTAAGAACAGGGAAGGCTGCATACAAGCCTTTATCTCAGGCTCTGCTTTCAGGGCAGTCGAGACCAAGGCAGGAAGAGAGACTAGAACATGAGAAGTTCCAACATGTGGGATGTCTGCGTCCTCAGAAAAGAAGCGAGAATGACAAAAACTATATTTAAAGATATAATGAATGATGGAGATATTTCCAAAATTGATTCAGGTGGACATCAAGCCACAGACCCAAGAAGCCCTATGGAGCCCAGGCAGGATAAATAAAAAAAAGTCATTGAAAAATAATACTGTGGAACCAAAGACAAATGGTTTTCACAGACCAGAAAGGATCTGTTTGCTTGGTTTCACCGTGTTACACAGCAGAAGTTCCCAATGATGAAGGAAAAGCCTCTAACTCAGATTGGAGGTCACCACCTTGCCTCCTACCCCCCCACAGAGTCACTGCCTCTGGGAAGGCTTTCTCTGGGCCTGCACCTGGGTGCTGCTGTCCCCGGCCCAGATACCAATGCAGAGGCCAACAGTAAGATGCCTTAAAAATTATAAAATAAAATGTAGATGTTCCCCTAAGCTCTTCCAGGAGGGGATCTGAGCATGGGGGTCAAAGATGGAGTCAGCTCCATCCAAACCCAGCTCCGCCACCTTCCCGCCTCCTCTACCAAGTGGGGACAAGTGTCTGCTCAGGAGGCGCCATGGGGATGAAGTGGGCTGAGGAGTGGGGCACCTGGCAGTGCTCCTTGCCCACTGTGCTGAGCAGCAGAAGCATTTCTGTTCCGACATTGGGTATTGTGAGGGCTGGAGGTGGGGGCAGGTCAGTCTGCGAGGACTCGAGTTAATTTCACTCGAGTCAGGCCGAGGCAGTGGGGTGAGAATTCACACTACCTTTCCTGCACTACAAGTTCAGCAGCTGTGGGTGAGCCGGGACCGGCATTTGCCTGAATCACCTCGAGATTTACCCTTAGATAAATGTGCGGTCACATCACGACGGTCTCTGAGTTCTGCCTGGTCCCTTCGCTGCTTCCACACCATCCGACATCCGTCTCTGCTCTGCATTCTGCATCTTGGCCACTCCGAGTTGGGTCTTTGTCAGGACATTTCAGCCTTGACAGAAGATCCGAAGCAGGAAGTGAAGCCTGGGGCCGGGATGGGCAGGGGCAGCTCAAATGTCCCTGCGCATCCCCCGGCTGGGCCCCAGGCAGGCCCTGCTCGAGGCTCACCTCCGTGTCCTGTCCTCTCTCAGTGGCCTGATGCATCACATGGCCAGGGACTGTGATGCTGGGAATGACCTTCACAAGCCCCCAGCAGCCAGGAGACGAAACCAGGGTGGCTTCACCAGAAGGGGGGGGGGGGGGGGGGGGGGGGGTGCTGCACAACTGGACTTGTTAAAAGCTTCTATAACCCTCTCCTGCTGCCCTGCCCCGGGCCAGACTATTCTGATAAGAGGAAAGTCCTGCTGTGACTTCCCAGGCATCCAGAGGTGCAGATCTGGGTTGTTCCCCGGTGAGCCGCCTTTGTAAACTCAGCATCCTCCACAGCCTCCCTCCCCACACCTGGGGCTCGGCATGGACAGCCCAGCTCCTGCTCTGGAGGAACATTTCTTGTCCCACCTCTCAGGGCACCAGTTCGGTGCGTTTTTCTCTAAAGCCTGCATCTCATCCACTGAAGGACACAGAAACCCTGCCCACCCCTGGGCAGGGGGTGGGTCGCAGGCAGGCTGAGCTGCTCACCTGTGGGTCTGCATGGGCGGCGCTTGCTGGGTGTGGTTTTGCATCCTCGTTCTCTGCTCTAGGCCAGCACCCACGTCGGGGCTCCGCGTGACGAGGGGGTCTTGTGCCGTCCAGCGTAGTAGCTCCTGGCCACGTGGCACCTGAGGATTTAACTATGGCCTCTGCCACCAAGGGACTAAGTATTTTATTTTATTGGTTTTTTTACTTATATCTAACTAGCCACCTGTGATTAGTGATTGGCCAGCACAGTGGTCTAGAGACAGGTTAAGTTTACCAAATAACAGTATAAGATAGGTGAGCGCTTGTTGTGTATTTCCTCCCCGTAAGAGTGAATTTTTTAAGTGTTCTCTTTGGAGTGAATAGGTCTCTTCCAGTTTTGTGCCAAGGATTATATTCAACAACAAAGAATAGTGTTATTTGATCAAAAAACATCACCACAAAAAAGAAGAGAATGAACAAAATAAAGCTTTATTTGAACAGCCCTGCAGATCATTTTGAAGCACTGGTCGCTGTCCCAGCTTATAGCTGTCATTTCATAAGTAGCGCCCTAACCATAATCTGCTAAGTCCAGCAAACTGCTGCCGGTACAGGTGGTGAGAGCTGCCAATCTGTGCTACAGCCGAGACCACCCGTCCTCACCTTGTCACCGAGAGGCCAGCACAGCCACGTATGGCGGGTGTTGAGCACTCCAGGTCCCCGTGAACACCTGCACAGCTGCAGGGTACCGCCCTCTGTGGGGTGCAGGTTGAGGCAGCCCTCCCTGTCCTCCAGGACCCAGCTCAGCAGGCCACCCGCCCAGCATTCCACAAGTGGTCCCTCTCGTGCTTGGCTATCAATAGGCACTTTGCAACCTAATGGTCGACGTTGTCTTGCTAAGTCCAGAGAACCGAAGGCACATTGGAAAAGGGAGAGACATGGCTCAGAGGAGGGAGGTAGGGCAGTTTTCAGGGACCCAGTTCCGGCTGCATTACTGAGTCCCTGGCTTCCCTGAACAGCCCTAGGCATGGAGCGCGCCAACTGGCTGCTGAGTGTCCAAGGCCGGGGGGAGGGGAATGTTTCCAGACCGCAAGCTGCAGAAACCACATGTGACCGGAGCCCTTCAGAGCTGAAAAGGGAGCCCATCCCCACAGGTGCTTTTAGCAGTTAGGTTTCATCACACACAAACCAAGAGAAGTGGAAACATACACCAAAAACAGATGCTGTGGGCTTGAGAGATTTCAAGATGGCTGTGTTCAGACAGAGGCACAAACATTTCCAATTCGGATTTCAAGTAGGCCAAATGGTACCCAAAAGTGCACCCTCCAACCCTCCACATTTCCCCAAGAGCGGAAGCAAAGAAGGAGCTTTTCATAAGTGTTAAGAAGAGTGTGTACAAGTAAACCACACATTGCACGTATGTGTTTGCACCATTTTTCTTCTAAAATATAAAAGTATAAAAATAAAATTTCCACCTTGCGTTTCCAGAAACACCAGGAGAAAACATGACTGCTTGTAGTTGCCAGTCACCTGAGCAGGCACAGGGGCTCCACCTTCCTGTGCTGTCGGGAAGGCACGGGAATGGAGGTGATGGACTTTTCACCGGGAAACCAAATTCAGGGCAAGTGGGAGAAAGCTCACCCTGTGTGAGGACCTGTCATGGGTCCCCACATAGAGGGAAGGCAGGGACTTGGGGCTTCGTGTGGAGGGTAGCGTGGGTTCCGCTGGGGCGTCTAGGAACAAGCCGACTCGGGAGCTGTGTTCTAGGAGCGTAAGTTCGGGGCCTGGCTCGGGATCTCGGCAGAGCCATCGTCACTGGGCGGCCCCCCACTTGTCTTTGTACTCCTGGTAGGCGCTCAGTATCTCCGTGATGACAGTGGGGTCCTCCATTGTGGTGATGTCCCCCAGGTCCTGAGCTCCGCCTGTGACGATCTTCCTCAGGAGCCTCCGCATGACTTTTCCAGACCGAGTTTTTGGAAGACGCTTCACTACCTGGCAGGGAAGGCGCAGCATTAGACTTCGGGTGGTGCCCAGACTCCCAGCCCATGTCCGATGGCGTTGAGCTGAGGAGGGTACTGCTCAAGGGAGGACGCCCCTCCCTGGGGACCCAACAGGAATGGATGATGTACAGCCCACCCCAGAGAAGAGCGAGGCCGTGGCCTCTGGTTTTATCCTCCTCCATCTGGACCTAAAGCTGAAATCAGCTGTGGTCAGGGGTTTAGCTGAGCCTCCACCGGGAGGCTCTCCCCTACCCAGGTGGACCTCACTGCCGACATGCATTTCTCCTGCCCGCTACACTGGGGGGTTCCCAGGTGGCAGCAGAACCAGGCATTCTCGGGGCGCCTTGTCTCCTCCCCCAGCCGGGGCCGTAATTGGCTTTTTCTAACATAAGAAGCAAGGGGTGCTCAAGAGGAAAATGTCTTGCTTAGTGTTTGAAACTTAGCCTTTGACATTTTCCAACTACAGGCATCCAACGTCAAGGCGATATGTTAAGGGATGCGTTTGGGACCTGTAACAGTGGCCTGTCTTTTGAAAGAGTCCAGTTAACTTACGGGGAGTTCAGGTGAAGCTCTGGTCACCGGACCGACAGTCTGACTTTGTACGGCACTGAGTGAAGCTGGGCCCTCCTGCCACCGAGGCCCAGCTTCCAGCCAAGGAAGGAGTGAAAAGCCAGCAGGGCTTAGAAGGTGGCCCAGTTCCTCCTTGAAACTGACCCCAACATAGGCTCCCAGACAGGGTCTGGTGGTGTCTCCTCACCGTCCCGGGGACCTCTGGTCCCACTCCAGGCCTCTGTTTACAATCCACGATGCTCCACGGCCCAGCCCGGCCCCTGCACAGGTGGCTGTGTCTCCCTCCGTCCGAGGACGCAGCAGCCCACCACCCTTGCCCACCTCCTGCCACCGTCCCCCGTCAATGGTGGGAAGCGAGGAGGAGCAGTGCTGTGGCCCCTGAGGCGCGTCCACTCACCAGGACCTGGTCGGGCACCGCATACTTGGCAATCTTGGAGGCCACCACCGACCGGAGCTCCTTCACCACCACGTCTGCGTCACCCGCGTCATCTTTCAACACGATGAAGGCAAACGCAGCTGGAAGGAGACCAGAGGTTCAGGCGCATCAGACAACGACCCACCTCCCGGGGCAGCATGTTTCACACAAATCGCCATAAATCCAAAGGGGCTTTAAATCATACGCCGGTGACCCTGTGGCAGCTGGTCTCTTTAGCTGCAACCCCAAAGGTGCATTTCCATTTTCATTCAAGGTGGAAGTGACTCCATTGGCTCCTCTGAGCGCCCCAGGTGGCGGGCACGTTTGGAGAGACCCTGGAGCCGTGACTCACGTCTGTCTGCACACCCGTGACGTGGGCTGTAGAAGATTCACTCTCCACCCCGTGTGACAGGTGTGGAAACACCACCCAGGCACTAGTCTCTGGGCACGTGTCCAGCCTGTGGGCACCAGCCACGTGGCTATTTAAAGTTAAGTTAAATGTAAAATGCAGCTCCCCAGTCACGTGAGCCACGCATAGCCGGGGCCCACCGTGTGGACAGCACAGACAAAGAATGGCTCTGTCGAGGCAGGAAGTTCTGTTGGGCTGCGCTGGTCAACCAGTATTTTAGCACAAACACCAGGTTTTGTTTTCAGTACTCCAGTGAGGATCAGAATGGCTCCCACGGGTGTCCAGCACGTTTCTCCTTAACCCACCGGGGATGATCTCGCACACGGACCCAACTCCAACTCCATTTCTCTCCACGTGAGCAATCGCTATCCCAGCGCCACTTAGGACGGTCTGTCCTTTCCCCCTGACCCGCACTGTCCTGCCTCCAAGCCAAAGCTCTCTCCACAGTCTCCTTCTTGCCCACTGGCCTGTCCGTCCCTGCACCGAGCCCACCCCATCCTGATCTACACTCCCTGCGCACCACCTAACCCCCACTGGTTCTGTCTATCTGCCTCTCCCCTCCCCCCCCCAGCCCCTCCAGCACATGAGCCCCCGGGGCAGGGACTTAGGTCGCTCTCCAGGTCTGCGTCCTAATCACACGAGACCTGGGGGCTCCCCTCGGTCAGATCGAGTGCAGAGAGAGTGGGGACAAATACACACCCACAGCTTTTGCTGTTGTTCATGTTTTACAAGTGGACAAATGCTCAGATTTGTTAGAAATCAGGAAAACGCACATCCTCATCACACCCAATACACAAATTCTCCCCCAAAGCCTGGCAGGCAACGCCGGAGTCGCTTAGGATGCAGGGAAGGGCTGCTGGTGGGAGCGTGATGTGGGCCGAGGCCCCTGAGACGCACACTCGAGGGCCCGTCCTGTCTCATCCCCTCGACCCCCAACAGCCCCCCACATCCCCGCCCCTCTTATCATGGGCGACATCCTCACGGGCACATCCTTCTGTGGCAACTGAAAACGCTTGTTTAAAACACTTAAATAAGTGTTCAATTTTCCAACAGGTTGGCTTAGGGACAGTATGTAACAGAAGAAGAGCACACAGATGTGGCTGGGAGGCAGGTGACACTGGGTCATGGTGCATCCTGACAGCAGGAGGGAGAGTGCCCCGGCCACTCAGCCAGGCAGTAGACGTCAGTGTGCCCAGCAGTGCAGCATAAGGTCAGGGAGTGTCTGGGTCACGCCCAGCCAGGCCAGGCCAGTGTGACTGCTACATGCCTGGCATTACAACACTCAGGTGACCCGGCCCCTTCCCAGACCCACCGCTTAGGAACTGACGGACTTTGGAACAGTGTGTGTCCCCAGTAAGGACCGGTCCAATCACTGGCTCTGTGCTCCCCTGGCCCATCGCTGTGCAGGGGGAACCACAGGTCAGACTCCTCCAAAGAGTCTCAGGCCAGTCAAGGAGCTGCTGCAAGGCACGGGGCGCTGTGACGGAGCACGTGTGAGGGACGTGTGGGCAGCACAGGGCATTTGCACATGCTGTCCCTGACAGGGCCGCCAGGGCCCTGTGGACGGGGAGGAAGCTCCCCAAGCTCAGCTGGGCCAAACAGGTCACGACTGCTTGTGGGTGAGTGTCCTTAAAGGACGGCAGAACCAGGACATTTCAGAGTCCTGACTTTTTCCTAACACTTCTGCCTGTTCAGCCTCCTCACCCAAAATCTCCACTTGAGAGACGTGAACCAGCAGCCTGACCCACGAGAAAGCCCTGGCCCCCACCCACCGAGCCTGCTTCTCATACAGGAGCCCTGGCCCCAGGGCCAGGAGGGTCCTCGGGGGACACGCACCTTCTCCCTTGATGTCGTGCGGGTAGCCGATGACGGCGGTCTCGGGCACTGCAGGGTGGTCAGCCTGGGCGTGACAGAGAACGCAGAGGTGAGGCAGCGACTCAGCCAGTGACGACCACCCCAGACCCCAGGCAGCGGCAGCCGGTGGCAGTGCAGGGCACAGAGGCCGGCTGGGCTCACCATGGCGTCCTCAATCTCCGCCGTCCCCAGCCGGTGGCCGCTGATGTTGATGACGTCGTCCATCCGCCCCGTGATCTGGTAGTAGCCGTCCTCAGTTCGGTAAGCCCCGTCTCCTGTGAAGTAGTAGCCTGCACCACAGTGGGGGATTCAGCACCAGCTCCGAACTGGGACCCAGCGGGGCTCCCACCCTTCCGTGAGGGACACCCCCTGGACAGGAGGAAGCGCCGAAGCCCCCCTGCCGACGCACCACCCCCCATGGAGACACCTCTCCGGTGCTGCTAAGCTGGTGCCAGTAAAGGGCAGAGGGGCTGCCAGACAGCAGGAGGCTGCAACGTCTGGAAGCAAAAGATACAAGGAGCCCACTCGAGCTTCCCCAAAAGTGTCGCTGACCTGCTTGCGACTGCAGAGCATCGGTTCCCAGGGGCACACGTGTACGTGAACTCCCACCAAACGACACGACACAAGCCAGAAGACAACGACATGGAGACCGGGGGGAGGCCTGGAGCCACCACGATTGTCGCCAAGGTGGCGTCCTGCTCTTCTGGGAGCCCATGGCCTGAGCCCCTGGGAGAACCCCGAGCTGGACCGCTCCTGGCTCAGAGGTAAGGAAAGGAGGGAGCGTTCACGCAACCCCCGGCCCCTCGGAAACGGTTCTGAGACCAAGTCCAGCGGCGGCAGGAAAGGCTCACCCGGGTAGGCCTTGAAGTAGGCGTCCATGAATCGCTGGTGATCTCCGAAGATGGTCCGGGCCATGCCTGGCCAGGCCTGGGACAGGCACAGAGCCCCAGACACATCTCCACCCTTCAGGACATTTCCCTGCAGACCCGGGAGATGGGGAGACAGAAGGAGTGACCATCTCGCGTTCTCCAAACTGCCGGGCCTAAGACAGGAACAGGACAAGTGCCCCAGAGGGAGCTGCCCGGAGCTTTCTCCTCTGAGAGGAGACCCTGCGGTGGGTGCCGCGCGACGGGGGAGGGCAGCCGAGGCCAGGGGGTGGCGGGGCATGTGGACAGGGAGACTCACCTTCTCATCCATGAGAACAGGGACGATGCCAAACAAGGGCCTCATCGCCATGCAGGGCAGGATTTCTGCCCCCTCCTCCGAGGGCCGCGGCGAGATGCAGATGCCCCCCGTTTCTGCGGGGAGGACAGGAAGAAACACCAGTGGGCCTGGGGCTACTGACACGTGTATCCAGACCGTATGGACACAGGGTCCACACACACAGCTGCTCTCCAGAGTGGGAGGGGGTAGACCTGCCCATCCGGGGCAAGGAAACAGCCCCCAGTGACAAAAGGACCTCTAAGGAGAAACCAGGCTTGGGTGCCGGTCCCCCCCACTGTGGAAATGAGAGCGGGCCGGGGGCCAGGTTCAGCCCCAGGAGCCACGGCCCCCATCCCGTGTTGTGGGGACGTGGGGACGTCGGAAAGGAGGGCAAAGGGAAAGAACGCCCACGGGTCCTGCCTCCAGGCATTTCTCTGGCTCTGGCCTCCATCAGCCTGCATGGGAAGGGCCCCCCCAAGACTCTGCTGTAGGGAACACCTGGGGCCTTCCTGAACCATGAGGCCCACGCCACTGGGAACGTCTCACTTTCTGGCTTCTCGAAGGACGAGACCTCAGCCATGTTTATTACGTCAGTGGTGGTCTCTTGCTGCCAAAATCCTGATAAGTCAGACACCCCAGAGGAGGGGGGCAAATCCAAACACAGTGGTGCAGAAAAAACTCCTTTCCCTCTAGATCCAAATCTAGACTCAAGGTCGCTTAAACGGCAGGACCCATCACTGGGCTGTACCGGGTTCAGGAGGTGGGCCGCCAAGGAAGGGAACCTTCGCAGGGCCCTATGTTGCCCCTCCGCCCCCTCCCGGGCCCCATCTTTCAGACGAGGAAACCAAGGCTCAGGGAAGCCTTCACACCCATGTCTCACAGCTGCAGAGCGGCAGCTGCTGCCCCAAGCTTCCTCTCCCCACACGCCAGGCACCTGTTGAGCTGACGCTCCATGCTCCCTGCCCCTCCCCCGAGGACGTGCTCACCTGTCTGCCACCAGGTATCCACCAGCGTGCACCGGCTGTCCCCCACCACTCTGTGCAGCCACTCCCAGGCCTCGTGGTTGATCGGCTCTCCCACTGCAACCACGCGCGCGAGAGAAGATATTAAGAGACCTCCAAAAGGCTGAAACCAAAAGGAGCTGATTTCACGACGAAAACAGCTCTATAATTTTCCCAAAAGACACAAAAGGAGACTTGAAAAAGCAGTGAGATCATCAGGTTTATGGCTATGGAAGAACACAAATGACAATGAGATATTTTCACCATTAGAGGGTCAAAAGCCAAGAAGTTGGCAAGAGTGTGGAGGAAACAGCACCACACACACTGCTGGAGTGCGGTTTGCAGGGCGATTCGAGTGTTTCTTTTCCCGTTTAGAAGTGCACACGCCCGTGGCAACTGCTTTGGATGCCTCCTGGTGACGGAACCCACTAAAGCCAGACACACTCGTCCTGTGACTGGAGGAGGTCGCTCCAGGCACCCACCCCCAGAAGCAGACACGGACGGGGATGTTCCCATGGCCAAGAGCTAAAAACTGTCCATGGAGAGGAAAATGGCGAAGTGAATCGTGGCGCATTCGTGAGGGACCACCACCAGCCAAGGCATGAATTGGCCCAGGTGCAGGAGCCGCCGTGCTATTCACCCACCTGCCAGCACGGCTCACTGATCCTGATGGAAGAAACACGTCCACACATGGAGGTGCGGGAAAGTCATTCTGGCTCACACACCCTTCAACTCAGACCTTATGCTAACTGGAACAGCCTGTCTGTGGCCCGTCAAACATACACTGCACATCTGCATTAATCATTAAAGAAAAGGGCAGGCTGTCCAGAAGTAAAGAATGTCTGAAAATAGAGATAAATGCCTCCCTGGGACGCCGATGCTGGGACTCCTTTGATGATAAGACTCCCTTCCCAGAGCCAAGGCTATACTGACTCTGTGCACGTGCTGATCTGCTTTTTTGAAACCTTGAAGGAACGTATCCCTGACTGGTTTGACGTTCTTTGTCCTGATAAGACATAAAACTGCTGAAAACCATGCTTCTCTGGAGCACTTCCCTTAGAGCTTACAGTCCTCAGCTTGGTTTGAAAAAAATTCTCTCCTATTCTTATTATAGACTGGTTACTGATTGTTTTCCTCCACGATACCCTGGTCTCAGGAAACCCCTGCAGGGCTCTGCTGTTGGAGCCGGTTATGCAGCAGGGGTGCCCCCAAGCGACACAGAGCCCAGCCAGCTGGTGAGGACTCCCTGGGGGGAGTAGGGGGTCCCTGCACGCTCGCTGCTGCCTGGTCCAACCAGAGAGTGGCTCTGGTCACAGCCCTTAGGGAGTGAGGCCCATAGGAGCCCGCCCCTGGCCTAGGGGACGCGCAGCAGAGCACTCTGAGCACCTGTCTTGTCACCTGCGTCCTGCTTCCTTAGTAACCGAATCCCCTGCAGGAGAACAGGCCTGGCGCCTTCCACCTCCCAGGACCACCTCAACTCAGGGTAACCCAGGTCACCTTTCCAAAACGTTCTCACATGACTTGGCGACATCTATCCTGATGACGAGTGGAGATAACCTTTGATCTCACAACTCCCTCCCTGCCTGGAAACACGCACCCAAGGGCAGAATGGCAGTGATGACAGCGCTGGGAACAGCAGGGGCTGAGATCCTGGGCAGCCACTAGGGAAAGGGCTTGGGCCTGACCTTCCAACGGTGGTGAGTTTTCATAATGAAGACGGAGCACAGACAACATCACAATGCTGAGCCCCAGACCCTTAACGGCTGTGGGCTCCCAGAAGGGGCTTCCACGTGGGACATCTGCTTTCTACTGGCTGCAGCCGCATCATATGAACTCAGCGCAGACACAGCCTTTGTGATGAAGCCATCCAGAGACCTGCTCTGGCTCTGGCACACACATGCCGCCTGCAGCCGCTCACCTGAGCCCGGGGCCCACAGGGAGGATCCTGCAGCCGCTCACCTGAGCCCAGGGTCCGCAGGGAGGAGCGGTCATACTTCTTCACCCAGGAATCCTCGAATTTCAGCAGCAGCCGGAAGGCCGTCGGGGCTCCATAGAACTGATTGATCTTCAACCTCTGCACCATCTCCCAGTACCGACCTACGAGAGGCCCCGGGTCACGTCACCTCTGTGAGCCTTACTTAGAGGCGGCCCACGTTACCAGGCGCCTGACGTGTGCAGACACCCACGGTGTCCACGAAACGCACTCTGCATCCACCTCTGGGACAGGAGGGGCTCCCCATGGGGCCGCCTCCTGCACTCCCCGCGTCAGAGGCTGCAGCCTCCGCCTGGCCCTGGGTGCCGACCCACACGCTGACAGCCCATGTCCTGACCCACGGGACACAGCGAGGAATCGGGTCAAAGGGATATTACCATGAAGTAGCACCAATGCAGAACCGCATTCAGGCACATTTAAATGGTCTCTAGTGGCGACCCGTGCTTCCCCCGGAGCAGCAGCAGCGCCCAGGATGCACGCGCCCCATCAACCCCCCAGCTTGCCACCACCACTCTGCACACAGGAGGTTGAGGCCACCTGAGACTCGGCTCTCATCCCTAGCCGGGCCCCCCGCACGCCCTCCAGGAGCACATCTGGCCCCTGCGGGAGGCTGGAGAGGACCTGGAAGCGGGGGACCAAAGTTCCAGGCACCAAACCGTCAGCGCTGTGGACCGCCTGGGCAAGAGCCTGGGCAAGAGCCTCGCAGAGCCGCCAACCTTCAGTCACGTTTGAACAAACACTTGAAGACGCTGTGCCACGAGGGAGGAAGATGCCAGGGGAGCAAGCCGTGGGTCCTCAAAGGGATCCCTCTCCATGGTGGCGGCTCCAGGCCACACACCACAAGCTCGGCCCGAGTGGCCTGAAGGCATGGGCAGCAGGGCGCCCCGGGAGGCTGGCCACTGGCCTTGGCCTCGAGGAAGGGCAGGATCCGGGCAGGTGGCCGCAGAGGTTAGGGGGAGACTAGCGTGGGTGGTCTCCCGAAGGCTCCAGCGACTGGAGCCCCTCCCATTGCGTGTGTGATCCCACTGCAGACCTGGCCCGGCCCCTGCCACCTGGCAGCTTTGTCACAAGAACCCACGAGCCCGGCCCGAGCAAAGCCTCCACCCCGCAGCCCGCACCCCCAACCTCTCCTCCTTCCTCCTGCCCCTGCTGCAGTCCGCACCAGCGTCGGGGTAAACCGGGGTGCTCTCAAAAAGGACGCTGGTCGCTCCATTGCACAGAGGCCCGTACACCACATAGCTGTGTCCCGTAATCCAGCCGATGTCAGCCACGCAGCCAAAGACGTCCCCTGGCCGGTAGTCAAACACAAACTGCAGAAACAGGAGGAGGGGCTGTCAGGAGCCTGTCACCCGTTCCCACACATCACAGGGCGTGTTCTGTCACCGAGGCACAGCTGCTCCCATGGCCCCTGAGAGCAGGAGTGAGGGCAGAGCACCACAGCGGTGATGAGAGGGGAATCACTGGTGACAGCAGCGCCAGGCCCGCAGATGACAGCAAAAGAAGCCGGACTTTAGAGGGGACACTCTTTGAGCCCCAGCACAAAGCCCATGCATACATTGGAGGTCGGTGAGTCCTGAGGCGGGCGGGGATGGGGGTTTTGGGGGAGCGGGCGGATGTCAGGGCCTGAAGGAGCTGGCCACACGTGTACCCACAGGTAAAACTCCATCCAGTCCTATGTCTAAAATAAGGGCACCTTTCTGCATTAAGTTACACCATAGTTTTTTTTTGTTTTTTTGTTTTTTTATACCATCATTTTTTAAATCCTTTTAAAACTGCAAAAAACAAAAGCCAAAAAGGCCAAGAAACGCACCAAGCATCATCAGCTTCTAAGAGTCTGAGAGACACGGGCATCTCCTTATTCTTGCCAAAAAGTCAAACCTGAACCTGACCCTGTCTGCGGGTCCACTTGCCCTCTTGCAGGAGATGCTGAGGACAGAGAGGCACACAGCCGGGAGCTATAACCGACAACATTCAAGGAAATGAAGGGATGGAGGAAAACCCATTGGTCAAACTTGGCTTAAAAGGCTTACCCAAAACAGTCAGTGGGCAAGAGTAAGCTACAGTACCTAGGGATGCACATTTGGGTGACAAAACTAGAAAGGGCAGGGACACTATGGGCCATGAAGGGGCTTCTGTGTGAGGCTGGCGATGTTCCAGTTTTTGACTGAAGTGAGTTTGTCCAACAATAATTCATTAAGCCACACATTTGATTTCGGTGGTTTTCTATATCTGTGTCCTATTTTGCAATAAAGATGTTTTCTTAACCTTTGGGCAAGTGGCCCAGTCTCTTGCTGCCACAGACACACACTGAGGTCCCCCAGGAGTTTCCAGACAGCACAGTGGTCTCGAGTCTGCCAGCGTCCTGTGGAGCCGTGACCCAAGGCAGAGGGGTCTTTCAAGGAAACCACTCCCACTGCACTGGTGAAGCAGGACTCCCACACCCCAAGGCCCACAGCATTCCGGAACTGAGAGGATTTTTAATATGAGGACCCACAGTGCCACATCTTTCAAGGGGCTGGCGACCTCTCTACCTGCTGTTCTTGGAAGGAGAACAGGTGCCCAGGACCAGCCACTCTCCAAAGGGCACCCTGACCCCACTGCTCACCCTGAAACCTGCCCACGTCCCCACCGTCCCTGCAGAGTCAACTGTCCTTTTCCCTGAAGAAACCAACAGTCCTAATACCTTCAGCGGGTACGCGGACGGACACACACACACACACACACACACACACACACACAGACGTACACTCATAGACACACACTTATGTACAGAAGGCTGAAAGTTTCTATTCCTAATGCTTTAAAATGCCCTCACTGTATTGAAGAGAAATTCAAAAGATGGTCCCGTCCTTACATCCCCACTTCTTTTGCTCATGTAGGCAGTGTCCTGGTAACGCTTGAAAACAAAAAATGAAGACTCTTTCACCACATTTACAGCTCCCCTAACGCTAATTTTGTTATAAATTGATGGAAACACGTTGACCCATTCTGTGACCTTCTTGGTCTCAGTAGCTACATTTTCCAAAGTGTTCTGACCTACACAACGTGTCATTCTTTGCAACATGCCCACCCAGAGCTGAGCAAGGGGCTTTCAGACGAGAACAGCTCTGTGATGCTCACGGTCACCCAGCGGCCAGAAGACAGCGGCTTTAGCATGGACTGTGTCAAGCATAATACCTCGTCTTCCCGGCATGGTTCTGTGACACGTCTATCTTTCTGCCTCACTTCCGCATCTTCAGTGCTGCCCGCAAGTGGCTGCCACTCCCAGGCCTCATCTTTGCCCTCCCAGGACCCGCTCGCCGTCCGTGCTCATCCGTAAGGTCCACCTCCGGATGACCAGGCCTGGGATATATGCTGATACGACCGATCAGCATATCCCACTCCCACCCCCACCATAGTGACTGAGTGGGCGGGGCCCTGGTCCCCAGCCAGACTGTAGGTGCTCTCAGCGTCCAAGCCCTGCCTAGATGCGCCTGGGCTTCCCGGTCACATGGCCAGTCGGCTCCCCTGCTGCTGGCATTGCCTGGGGCTGAGTTCTGCCTTTAGCCAGAGAGAGAGTCTGGTCCACAGACGATATCCTGAGGCCCCATCCCACCTGGGAAGCGTCAGCTATTCCCCAAGGCAACCAGGGATGCATGTTAACCAAAATCCCCCCACCCACCCATGTTTAAATGAGTGCTGATTTTTAAATGCATTTACTATAATAAAACTGTGCCAGATCATTTGCTTTATAATCCTTAAAGGATGGTCCCCTGTAATACAATTTCCATACGCTAAATTTAAGCCTCCTCATAAAATCAAGTCTTTTTAAAAATTTTCCTTTTAAAATGTGGCCCCAGTAAGCAGAGCCTAGAGGCCACAGCACTTTTAGGGGCCCATGAAAATGTTTTACTTTCTTTCAAAATCAGATGAAAAAGATATCTTAAGTAGAAGAACACGTCTTAACAAATAACAATAATGTACTCATATCTATACCAACCTAGTCGTATAGGAGAAGGGCACAGGAAGGCCAGAGCACTGGACTCCCAGCACCTGAAAGCAGCCGTGCCAGCCAGCACGTCAGGCCTAGGGAGGGCTTGACACACGTGTGACGGGCTAAAGACCAGCAGAAGACACAGGTCCAAGGACCCAGGCCCTTCCGACAAGGACAGAAACTCAGCTGCCCAAGCCCACCCCTCCACCACGCTGATGCCAGGACTCCCGGCCCTGCTCGTGAACACATGAGGAGAAGACGTTAGCAGGAGCTCTGGCCCCCCGCCTGGAGCCCCCCGGGGCAGCGCCCTACCCGGTGCGTCACAGCGGCGTACAGCAGGTAGCCCGCCTGGGTGTGGACAAGCCCCTTGGGTGTCCCAGTGCTCCCCGAGGTGTACAGCAGGAAGAGCGTGTCCTCACTCCCCATGCTCTCTGGGGCGCACACTGGCTCCTCCTTGGCCATTTCCTGTGAGGGAGAAGACCAGACAGCCCGTCAAGGGCAGTGACCTCGCCCCTGCACCCGGCGTCCCCGAGAACACCTCTCCCCCTCGGCCTCAGGACTCGGCAGACAGGGTTCAGAGTTCACCTTCTCTAGCCTGCCCCAGTTTAATTCCAAATAAAAGGATGGATCCAGTCATTTCTGTTATGTTAAATGTTTCCCTCTGTTTGTGGAATTTGAGTTCCATCTTCCCTACCCGGATGGAAGCCCATCAAATAGCAAAGGGGAACTCTGGGCACCTCTGGGGGACCCAGACTGAGAACCACAATCTGACAAGATTCAGACTCAGTTAATCCAATGACAACCTCTTCTCTTCAAACTATACAAAAGGAGATAAACCCACCTGCTCAAGGGGGATGTCCAGATCCCCCATGTGGACCTTGTTGTCTGTCCTGTGAGCCACGAGGACATGCTGGACGGTTGGGCAGAGCTTTATGGCTTCGTCCACAATCTTCTTCAGCTCCACCACACGCCCTCCCCGGAGTCCTTGGTTGAAGGTGATAACCACCTTGCACTTGGCTATCGGAGTCAAAGGCAGGTATTTCTGGTTAGTTTCCTCCCCACTCCGACCTTCACAGCCCAGACAGCCACACACCCCAGGCCTAAGGGTGTGATGGATAAAGTCCATCCTTGAGCAAGAGGGTCAACACAAAAAAGTGAAGTTCCACCTGCTTTGGGATATTTGTGCTCAGAGCAGAAGCGCCAGCCTCTTCCCAGCTCTGGGAGGAGCAGGTGTAACTGGAGCTAAGCCACTGGAAGCTCAACTCTGCCAGTCTCCCGCTCCCTCCCACCTGCCCCGGGGCCTTCCCAGGCTACCCTCCGCCCACCACGCCCCAACCCGGGATGACCCGGAGGGATCACGGCTGGGCTGTTGTACAACTGGCCCCTGAGAAAGAGCCTGGAACAACCATCCAGCTGCCATGCTGATGGCCAAGCACAGCCCTCAGACCTGTGACGTGGGCACCGAGGCCTGATTTGGAGCCACAGGCGGAAGTGTTGAGGAATCACCCCACCCAGTAGTCCTCAACCAGCCCCTCGGGGTTCATGCTGACGCCCGGGGCACCATCGCCTTCCAGGGTTTCCCTGCGGTCTGAGCCCTGGGCACCCACAGTGGGAGCTCCCCGGCCTCACTCCCTGCACCCCGCAGCACCTCCCAGGACCACCTCCCCAGTGAACTGCCTGCACTTGAACTCTCGCCTCAGGGCGGCTCCTGGGGGCCCTACCTGAGGCGCCAGTCTCCCTCAGCTTTCCAGTCTGAAACGTGCTTTCTAGAGACATGCTCACAGCCTCTCTTCCTCCCAAGAGCCCTAGAGGCGGCACAGCCCCGCGGGCCACCTGTGACCCCTCCAGCACAGGCCTTTGCCTGGGTCAGAGAGATGCTCTGGACTGCTTGGGGCGCCTAGGACAGTGTCATCAGCTCTGCACGCCAGGCCCCGGCCACACACACTGTTTGCTCCTCGAGCCTTGGCAATCGGTCACCGTGGGGAGACAAAGTCAGGTGGACAGAGCCCACCTGAGACGCTCAGGCCTACATCCCTGAGCTGGGACTGTCCAGGGAAGCTCCCTGTGGGGCAGGAAGGGAGATGGCCAAGCAGGTAGAAAGGCACCCTGCTCGAGGGGATGAGAGACAAAGAAAGCTCAGGACCCTCTGGAGAAAACAGTGGCCCCGGCCCAACCTGGGTGCTGGAATCCCGGCCTCCGAGACACAGGCCTCACTCCCGGTGCCCATCTGTGCGAGGCCTCCCTGCCCGAGTGGTTCTCCAGGGCAGGAACCTCCGGGCCCGACACGCCCAGTCCCCAGGAGGTGCTTGAGGAGCACCCTCTCTCTGCGGTCCCCGAGGGCGGGCAGCGGGGCCGTGGCAGGTGCACGGCATCAGCACAGGCAGGATCAGCAGACACTTTGGTCTGGGGAGGATTCACTTTCACCCTGGCTTTTGATCAGGTCTCAGCTTCTGTATTTGTTTTTAATTGCTCCCATAGCCAATTACCACAAATTTAGTGGCTCAGAACCCCCATTTTTTTTTTAGCTCATGGTTCTATAGTCTGGGTGAGCTCGGCCGTGAGACTCTAAGCTGGGTTCTCTGCTTAGAGTCTCACGGCCAAAATCAAGGTGCCAGTGGGGGTGGGGGAAGATCTCACCCCGAGGCTCTGGGGAGAATCTGCTTTCAGGTTGCTCAGGGTGTTGGCAGAAGTCAGGTCCGTGTGGCTGTAGGACTGAGGCCCCCATTTCCTTGCTGTCAGTCAGGGGTCGTCCTCAGCTTTTAGAGCCACCTACACCCCATGCACACAACCTCCTTCAACCTCAAAGCCAGCAAAGGCAGGTCAAGTCCTTGTCACTTGGAATCTCTCTCACCTCCCTCTTGCCACATGTTTTCTGCTTCAGCCAGAGAAAGTTCTCTGCTTTTAAGGATCGGTGGTTACACCGGGCGGACCAGCATCATCCCCCCACTTTGGGGTCCCATCACATCTGCAGAGGCCTTCCGCCACGTAAGGTACATATTCACAGGTACTGGGGAATTCGGGCGTGGACAACTGCTTGGGCCACTAATCTGCCCTCACAGCATCTCGCAGAGCCATTCTCCACCCTCCCCACGCCTCCCTCTCTCCACTCCTCACACAGCCTAGACCAGGAGGGAAGATAAAGGAAGAGGAGTGGCCAGAGACCAGAGGCCAGGCCAGGGGGCCGGGGCCGTAGAATAGGACATACTAACCGGAGAAGCTGCCTACTCACGGTGAGACCTGGTCGCCACACTGACACTCTCCTTCCCCGTGGTGGACAAAAGACAGCTGTGAATTCTCTGACCTGGTCTCACGCCACTTCTCATGGACAAGTAGGGTCTAGGCCCCCTCCCCTTAAATTTGGGGTGGCTACAGACTGGTTTGACCAATGGAGTAGAGCCAGAATGATGCTCTACTGATTCCAGGGTCAGCCTGTAGGGCGAGTGGCAGTCTCCTTGCTTCCTCGTGGAGCCATAAGCCACCATGTAACAAGTCTGACCACCTGAGGCTGCCTTGCTATGGGGAAGCCCAAGTTAGTCATGTGAAGAGGCTACATGAACAGAAAGAGACCCCTGGCCACCCCCAAACATTCAAACCAATCCAGCCAATTTCCCAGATATCACAAAGCAGAGGGAAGCCATTCCCACTACGCCCACCTGACTCCTGCCCCACAGAATCATGAAACATAATAAGAAAATATACTGTTCTAAGTACTTCCTTTTGGAGTAGCTTGTAACACAGCAATAAATAACCAAAATACCACCCTCACTGAGCCAAGAGAACACAGACACTTGTCCCAACAGGGTCTTGCGCCCAGGAAACTGACACCTGAATAGCTGGACATGGAGGCTGTAGGGTGCTGGGGAAGAGCCACTTAATGGCAAAGTTCTAGAGAAAAGTTATAGGACTTTCCCCTGCTGAGTCCCTCAGAGCTGACTGGGCCCCTGCCTTCCCATGGCCTGGCTGTTTAGGATTCCTGAGTTCTGGGAGTTGCCTGGCATCCAGTTACTAATTCTCCAGAGTCAATTGCTTTTGCTTGTTTCAAAGAATCTTAACAGAAACACTTGGTAACTGTGGCCACATCAGCAAGAGAGGAAAGGAGCAGCTAATGTAATGTTAAAAGCATTGGTAGAATGCCTGGGTTCAAATCCTGGGTCTGTCACTAAGTAGCAGTGTGACCTTAGGCAAGTCACTTAACCTTTCTGTGCCTTAGTTTCCAAGACCAGATGGCTTCACTGGTGAATTCTACCAAACAGATAAAGACAAATTAACAGCAATCTTTCTCAAACTCTTCCTAAAAATTGCAGAGGAGGAAACACTTTCTTACTCATTCTGTGTGGCCAGCTTTACCCTGATACCAAAACCAGACAAGCAGATCACAAGAAAAGAAAACTATGGACCAATATTCCTTATAAACACTGATGCAAAAATCCTCAACCAAATGCTAACAAACTGTATCCGGCAGCATATTAACAAGATTATACATCATGACCAAGTGGGATTTATTCCTGGAATGCATGGATGGTTCAGCATATGAAAATCAAGGATAGATATATAGATCAGTGGAATAGAATAGAGAACTCAGAAATGAGCACTCACATATACAGTCAAGTTATATTTGACAAGAGTTCCAAGACCATTCAACAAAGGAAACAATAGTCTCTTCAGTAAATGGTATCACTGGATATGCACAGGCCAAACAAAATGAAGCTGGGCCCTTACCTCACACCATATGCAAAAATTAACTCAAAATGGATCAAAGACCTGGGACTTCCCTGGTGGCGCAGTGGATAAGACTCCGCACTCCCAATGCAGGGGGCCCAGGTTTGATCCCTGGTCAGGGAACTAGATCCCATATGCATGCTGCGACTGAGAGTTCGCATGCCACAACTAAGAAACCCGCATGCCACAACTAAGGAGCCCATGGGCTGCAACTAAGGAGCCCTGGAGCTGCAACTAAGGAGCCCTAAGACTTTGCATGCCACAACTAAGGAAACTGCCTGCTGCAACTAAGGAGCCCATATCCCACAACTAAGGAGCCGGCAAGCCCTGGAACTGCAACTAAGGAGCCCGCCTGCCACTACTAAGATCTGGCACAACCAAAATAAATAAATATTTTTTTAAAAATGGATCAAAGGGGGCTTCCCTGGTGGCGCAGTGGTTGAGAGTCCGCCTGCCAATGCAGGGGACACGGGTTTGTGCCCCGGTCCGGGAAGATCCCACATGCCGCGGAGCGGCTGGGCCCGTGAGCCATGGCCGCTGAGCCTGCGCGTACGGAGCCTGTGCTCCACAACGGGAGAGGCCACAACAGTGAGAGGCCCGCATACTGCAAAAAAAACAAAAATAAAAATAAAATAAAAAGTGGATCAAAGACCTAAATGAAAAAGCTAAAACTATAAAATACTCTTAGAAAAAAACACAGAGGCAAATCTTTGTAATGTTGTACTTGGCAATGGAGTCTTAATTAATATACCAGAAACACAAACAACAAAAGGAAACAGATGAACTGGACTTTATCACAATTAAAAATTTTTGTGCTTCAAAGGACAATACTGAGAAAGCAAAAAGACAACCCACAGAATGGGATAAAATAATTGCAAATCATATATCTGACAAAGGTACAGTACCCAGAATATCTAGAGAACTCACAACTCAACAATAAAAAAAAAGACGAACGACCAATTAAAAAAATGGGCAAAGGACTTACGTAGATATTTCTCCAAAGAAGACACAAATGGACAAGCACATAAAAAGATATTCAATGATATTAGTCATTAGAAAAATGCAAATCAAAACTACAATGAAATACCACTTCATACCCATTGGGATGGCTATAATTTTTTTAAAAAGGAAAATAACAAGTGTTGATGTGGATTTGGAGAAATTGGAACCCTCATACATTGCTAGTAGAAATGTAAAACAGAATAGCTCCTTTGGAAAAGTTTTGCAGTTTGTCAGTAAGTTAAACATAGATTTACCATATGTGCCAGCAATTCCATTCCTAGGTATATACCCAAATAATTGAAAGCAGGTATTCTTATACATAAACGTTCACAGCAGTTCTATTCACAATAGCTAAAAAGTAGAAGCAAGTAAAAATACCCATAAACAGATAAATGGATAAACAAAATGTGGTTTATCCATACAGTCAAATATCATTCGTCTACAAAAAGAAATGAAATACTGATACACACTACAACATAGATGCACCTTGAAAACATGATGCTTAGTGAAAGAAGTAGAACACAGAATGCCACATACTGTAGGAGTTCATTTTTACAAAACCTCCAGAACAAGCAAGTCATAGAGAGAGAGAAAGCAGATTAGTGGTTGTCAGAGGCTGGATGGAGGGGAAATGAGGAATGCCTGCTTCATGGGTATGAGATGTCCATTTGGGATGACGGGAAAGTTCTGGAATAGTGATGACGGTTGCACAACATTGTGCATGTGCTTAATGTCTCTGAACTGTACACTTTAAAATGATTCAATGGTAATAGAAAAAGGGAGAGGGTAGAAATAGCAAGAGTATTATCTCATATAATATTTATGAAGACTAAGTTAAAATGAAGAGAGATGGCCTTCACAAACGGCTTAAAACAAAACCTGGTACACAGTAGGTGCTACAGAGTTCAGAGAGAGAGAGAAAGGAGTAGCAGCACCAATGCTTGAAATTAGAGGGGAAATGTTGAAAGGGAACAGAAAGGCTCCCCAGTCTTTCCTAAAGAGAGTGGTCAACAGAGGTCTGAGAACTATGCCCTTCAGCTCTGTCCATTACCCAAAGGGAAGTCTTCTATGAGACACAAAGAATTCCCAACAGCCCCCAGGGGAGCCAGCTCAGGGAACCCTCTAGGATCTCAAGGGAGCAGGGGTCAGGCTGCACAGACATGAGGCCACCATTCAGACACTCAGCCCTCCGACACCAGAAAAAGGAAGGAGACAATATTGCTCTGCACACCTGTCTGGGAGGCCCTGACCTACCTGCAGACAGAAGGCCTTAAAGACACACCACGAGGCCCACACCTGACTCCAAGCCTCAGGAGATGGCCCACCCCATCAGTCCTCATCACAGAAGGCTTCCAGCTGTTGACCTGTGGAATCTTCCCCATATCTCCCCAGCCTCATCTCACCCTACGTTTCTTCCCTCCTGCACTGCAGCCACACAGCCTCCTCCAGTGGGTACATACGCCACTCCCTCCACCTGGAATCTTCCCTTCCTTCATCTGGTTAAATCCAACGCACTCAGATCTCAGCTGATAGAGCAAATGTTCATTCAGCCATGCGCTGTCCCTGGTAGTGTCCATCATCTGTATGTGTGACTTTCAGTGATGTCTGTCACCACGCTAAGTCCCTGAAGGCCAGGCGACCCAGGTTCCTCCCTCCCTCCCACTGCCCACGTGCTCACCATCATTGATCCTCGCAGCCAAGGACCCCGCACTGAAGCCAGCAAAGACAACAGTGTGGATGGCTCCAATCCTGGCGCAAGCCAGCATTGCGGCCACAGCCAGCGGGGAGACAGGCATGTAGATGGCTACCCGGTCCCCTCGGTGGACTCCATGCCTCTTGAGCGTGTTGGCCAGGCGGCACGTGGTCTCCAGCAGTTCCCTGTGGCACAAGGAAGGGAGGGCTGTCAGAGAAGGGGGAGGGCCAGAACGCATAGTCATTTGGCTGGAATAATTCTGCAAACTGCAGGCACTGGCGCCCCGGCCAGCCAGGGGGAGGGCAGCCACTCCAACACTTGATGCATGGAAGGCTCTTTTCAGAAAACATTGTAACTTTGTAGGCTTGTCCTGACACAGATTCACGGCCACACTGCTGAGAAAAATCGCCTGTCCCTGCATCCACTGAGAGCAGAGCTTCTCAGAGACCTGGGTCATCCGGTCCCGGAGCCTTCTGACACATCCTCCCCGAGAGGCCCCTGTTCTCTGGGTCAGCACAGGCCTTGCTGGGCAGGGGACCCCAGGAAGGGGACCCCAACTCTGCGAAGCCTCAGTGATTTGGGAAGGAAAGCGACCCACAGCCCAGGGCAGGGCTGGGTGGTGAGGGACCAGGACACTGTGCCCCGCCTCCTGTGCCCACATGGCCCCTGCCTCCACTCCAGGGGCTTAGGCTTGGCCAGCCAGTCAGAGAGCACCATCCCGCTGAACAACCTGATATGCTTGGGGTTAGCACGTGACCCAACACAACCCCGAGAGGATGACAGCCTACCAGAAACCAGAGCAGGAAATGGAGGAAAGTGCAGGAGAGCAGAAGCAGGTGGACGCTGGGTTCAGCACTGCTTCCCACGTGGTCCCACTGAACCCCACTTCCCACAGGAAGGGACATTTCCCATTTTCACTGCTCTTGTTTTATTGTATTTGTTTTATATATATATATATATTTTTTTTTATTTTTCTTCCGAAGAAAAAAATTATATTGCATTTGAAATTCATTGATGGTTTCTTTTCAATACAGCATATGAGGACACAAATTTAAGGGTCACTGTAGACTTTTAAAGCACATACAACATCTGTAACTTAGTTTCTTAAATAATTTTTAAACAAAATCAAAACAATTTAAACAGAAATATTTTAAACACTCAAAATCATAGCTCCAATGTTGCTCATAACGTCAGTGTGAATGACTTGCTGTATTTGTTATTTAACAGAAAGCTGGCATGGAAGGGCAGAGTAAGTCCACCCACCCACGTGGCTCTACCTTCCTGGCCAAGACCCAGGAGCGTTTGTGGTTGCCCTGTGCTCAGAGGCCCAGAAAGGGGCAGCCCAGCAAGGGCCAGCAGGAAATGAAGGGTGGGCAGTGACAGGCCTTGGGGGAGACCAGACGAGAGATCACTAGTGTAACCAAGCAGGACCTTATGGGGCCTTCCAGGGACAGACTCCACCCCCATATCCTCTGCTTTAGCTCCTCTCTAAAGTACCTAGATAATAGTATCTGATGCACATTCCTGAGTTGTTTTACAGATGCTAAAACGCCCACCAGACGGAAGAAATTGACTACTTGTAGCCTCTGGACCTACTGGAGCCTGAGGACTGATAATGTTAACAGTCCTGTTAGTCACCATCGACCAGAGAACTGTGGTGAGCTGATCACATACCCTGCGACTCCCCTCCCTCACCTTGCCTCTAAAAAGGTTTTCCTGAAACCCATCGGGGAGTGGGGTGTTTTGAGCACCAGCGGCTCTGGACTCCTTGCTTGGTGCCTGCAGTAAACGCTGCACTTTCCTTCACTCCAACCCGGTGTCAGTAGATTGGCTTTACTGTGCACAGGCAAGCGGACGGACCCAAGTTTGGTTCGGGTAACACGAGTGCAGCCTGCGCTCCCCCTCGACTCCTGCCCAGGCTGGCACACTGCCTCTCTGGTAGGACCCTATCCTTTCTCCTTAAGCTTTAGGAGGACAAAAGCACCATTCACTGACCCCATCCACCCCGCACCTGAGCTTGTGATGAAAGAAAGAGCACCCCAACAGCCCCCAACAGCAAACTCCCCGGAGCCAGGGCCCAGAAACACGCCTCCTGCGTGCGGGGAGGAGGCTAGGACAGTCTGTGACAGCACTCAAGAGGCAGCTACGGTCAGTCACACAGAAGGATAACTTCAGCCCAGCGCAGGTGCCATTTTCAACAGCGCTAAGGACTTAAGGAGTCGGTGCTGGGGAGATGGAGGCTCAGGTGCGTCAGAGATCAGTGGTGACGACATCCAGTCCTTTTTCTGCAGACGGAAGGCAGCATTTTGAAGTCGAGGAAGGCACAGAGCCGTCCAGACAGAGAGGCCTGGGTTACCTTCTATAGGAGTTGCACGGGCATGGGAGCTCACCTTTCTCAGCTGCCACAAGATCACCTGAGAAACAGCAGGCCCCTTCCACCTTGTTTAACTGTTACGAGTGTTAATGAAAAGCTTCACCCACTCAGGACTCGGCCAAACATTCAGTAGAGATTATCTTTACCATCAGACGTCTTTGTTTGAAATTACTTTCTAGAAGTACTAAAATCAACTAATTCATTTTGATGAATTTGTAAGATGTTAAAAATTCCATTCTAGGCACCATGGGGGCGAGTAGGGCACCAGACAAAAGAAATGAGAGGGAAAGCGTCCTCCTGCAATCCAGCCCCACTGGGGAAATGAAGGCACATGAAAGTGTGATGGGTGTTTATCACCTCAGCTTCTGGTACAATTACTGAGGCAGCAGGGAGAGCTTTCTGGAAAGGTTGGCCGTGGGGAGGAGGAGAAAGGCAGCAAAGGGGAAAGGACTCCCTTCAGGGGCAGAAGCTGCCTGGCGGTCAGAGCTGGGCAGCTGACCTATAGCCCCGGGAAGGTCTGGAGACCAAGCTGAAGTAGCCCAGGTGTTCCCTGGAGGATCGAGGGGCCTCCTCATGGGCCCTGGAACTGAGTCTGCTGGGTCCCACACCCTTGCCGCTGCATCCAGAGAAGTTTCTGGTAAAGAATCTGATCGGGGTAAATCTCTCGAGTTCACTCCCCTTCCCATCCTCTCTGCCAAGGCCATAAAACTCAAGGTCAAAGAGATCCTTGAAGCCTCCCTGGGGTTCCTGGCCACAGCGGTCCAGCCTCTGCTTAAACATCACGTTGCTGGGAATCACCCCGCACAGCACTAAACAGTCTTCCTAGAATCAGGCCAAGACTTGTAGCTGTTCCACTTCCACCCCTTGGTCCCAGTTCAGCCCTTTAAAGACGTCCAGAGAAAATCTGTCATTCAATGATAGCCCTTCAGATTCCTGAATACCCCCCACCACTACCTCGCAAAGCCTTTTCTCTCCCAGGTTCTCTCGCCCAGCCCTCCGTGACGCCACTCCCATTCTCTAGAAACCCCCAGGTTACCAAACGGACCCCGGCATTCCCATGGTATCTGCCCGGGTCAGAATATGGAACGCAGACCCTTGACCCCAACTCTATATTTAACCATGTAAATGAAGAATACATTTATTTTCTAATGCCTGACAAAGGTGGCCCAAATTCAACATGAGGTCACTAACCCACTGACCATCGCCACACACAGAACAGGACTCTGAACAGGGGTCCTCCATATCACAGTCAGTAAATTAATTTTTAAAATCGGACTTTCCGGACTATCCATTTGTCCCTATTTAATTCCATCTCAATTTCTCCTCATCTTTCCAGTTCATCCATTATATTTTTAAACTTGGATTTTTCATTTTAAGCTTTTGCTTTTCATTACCAATCTTCTCCAGACTTAGACCACTGGAATATATGGTCAGCAAACCTAGGTCTTCAAATCACAAAAAAGTAAGTGCTATTCAAGTGATCCTGTTACGTGAGGTACTCAAAAATCATTCAAAAGCAGTTCTTGGATACTCATAACTTCTCAGACTTTCACAAACCGAAATGCTGTTTCTTATCAAACAGAGAACGCAGCCACTCAGTGATGGGTGCTCTGGGCTGACTGCAGGATGCACTGGCTTCCTCCTTGCCTGCGAGATCTTTCCAAGGGACAGTGACACGCAGCTTTCTGAGAAATGATCTCAACAAAATGAGTTAGAGTTCTATTTTCAAGTGCCAGGAGAAATATAGCATTCGTCATGCAGGTTCTGAATAAGATATCTACATTTGTCTGTGAGTAGACTCCTCAGGGCCATGCCTTCCACGTGGACGCATGCAAATGACAGGCACAAATACACAGACTGGCCTCATATTCAGGGTGCTGAACACCAGCAAAATGCTGCCTGGCCTTGGGGGAAGGAAGGAAACCATCTACAGCCAACTCTAAGCTTCAAGTGGGAGGAGCATTCATCCAGTGCTAATCCGTAACCAACACAACATCTGCCCAAACACAGACAGAAGAAAGGCACCTCTGGCCCAGCTCAATCCAAAACAGGACACAGCTGGACAGCCCCAGGGGAAGTAAGATAAGCCGGGTGTGTTTGTGTGCGTGTGTGTGTGTGTGTGTGTGTGTGTGGTGCTGTTGTATTTAAGAAACACATCCGGAATGCATGCCTTGCTTACTTGCTACCATTACCATTACTCTGGCTCTTGTGCTCATTAAACACTGGAAAAGAGGCTACCTCCTTCTGTGTCCACCTGCCCCACTGAGTATGAGCTTTACTTGGGCAGGGATTTGTTCTTTGCCTTCCTCCCAGCGTCCGGAACCGGGCCTAGCTCAGAGAAGGTATGCAACAGATATCTGTGGACCGGAAAGGAAGAGCAGGTAAGCAAGAAAGGACGAAAGCCCTGGCGGGTGCAGGGCGACTGGAGCCCGAGCTCTAACCATGAGCGCCGGGTCCACCCCGCAAATGCCTCCCAGCTTCCTGTACCTCCTGTACCCTGGCAGGAGACATCCTGCCCCTCAGAGAGGGCGATGGGCAGGGCCACCCCACTGATAGGCCAGCACACAGCTCCTGTCCTCTGCGTTTCCTTCTGCCGATAAGGGAAGGAACCCAGGGAACTGTGTCGATGTGTGTGTGGAAGGCCTGTGGCAGTCACTTCTTTCCTCCAAGCCTGGTGCTGAGGGGAGGGGTCAACCCCGTGGTCCAGATGCAGGACTGGACAGGACACATCTTTCTTCGGTACACTTCTCTAGACTTTGATATTCTCTTCAGCAAGCCATTTCTGGAAGATGGAGGTGGTGAGAGAAGCAA